TTAAAGCATGCCAGAGAGCGTGCTCAGAGATTTCTAGCTCAAAATGAGTAATGACTAAACGAAAACAAAACTATTTAAAATGTTACCAGGTAAGCCCCACTGAGATATTCATCTCTTATTCAGAAGCGACCTGGCGATCATACAAGATAGCGCCACGAAGTGGGCTTACCATGTGGAAATGTATAGCAGGCAAATACTCTAAATTCCTGTTGGCAAGGGGCGAGTCTTTAAATAGGACAACGACTGTTGATCTTTCTCACAAAGCGCTACTCATTTATATCACCCCAGGGAGGGACGAGGGGCTGGGCCACGCCCTGGCCACGATTTGACCTCACAACCTTCCCGCGGAGCCACCAGTGTTACACTGCACACGACACAACTCGAATTGGTGGCAAAAATTAAACACATTCCTGCGGAGGGAGCTGGTAGGAACGTTGGGTTGCTCGGTCAATGGCCAGGGTCAACGGCGGCGTGGTGTATTCCGCAAATATGCCCGACTGTGAGGGCGGGCACAAGCCGGCGTGAGTAGGTTAAACGTTGAATTTTATAAGGGCACCACGGGGTGACCAGCCCCTCCCCACCCAGCCCCACCCCTCCCCACCCAGCCCCTCCCCACCCTCCCCTCCCCACCCAGCCCCTCCCCGCCCTCCCCACCCAGCCTCTCCCCACCCTCCCCTCTCCACCCAGCCCCACCCCTCCCATTTTTGGATGCACGACGGACGGACACAATAATCCCCTGTGGGCTGGTGGAACCAGGTGGTTCCTACCAGAATGAAACGACGTAAGCGACTTTCGCCTTGTACGAGTGTCAGCACGCGGTGGATCATTGCGAAAAAACCCCTCTAGCGAGGGGCCAGCAGGCACACAAAATGCACATCTTCCTGCTGCTGCTGAGAATTGAGTCACTGAGTGACGTGCCACTCCGCAAAACGACGTCCGTCAGATCTCAATGGAACTAAAGCGTCTAAATCCGACCGCATCTCAAAATGCTGTACACAGACACACATGAGAGAGAGAGACAGAGGTGGTTAGTCATAGACAGAGGCAGTTCTTGAGACTGGGCTTCAACAGGGCCAGTGAGTCGATAGCATGGGCGGCTTGGGGGGGGGGGTGTTCAAAGATATGTGGACAGCAGAGGAGATTGAGAAGCCTCCCACACAGACTGAAAGTTGTCTGTCGACACAAAGACTTGGTGCCCTTGGGCGCGTGGAAGCAAGTACCGTAAAGTGAGATGAGAGGGGAGCGAGAGGGAGGAGAGGGCGTGCAGGGGGAGTTGAGTGAGATGAGAGGGGAGAGGTAAGGAGGAGAGAGTGCGCGAAGGGGAGTCTAGTGAGATGGGAGGAGAGAGATCGGAGAGTGTGTGGAGGGGAGTATATCAGAGTGATAAGAGAAGTGAAAGAAAGGTGGTCAACTTTTCCATTTTAGACAAAACCCGGCAGTATGTCTCAGTCACGCCTGTCCAGTTTACTGTAATGTAGTCCAACACTATACCGCGACCACAACTCCGTACAAATCTATTCCTGCCACCTGAACACAGATGCCAATTCCTGCACTGTACCGGGTAAAATCTCGGCAGGTAGCAAACCCTAGATGGGAGGTAGGCAAAGGTACGGCCATTAAAATGACGAGTGCCATCTTCAAGTTGATATGTGATTGGATTGAGAGTTAGCGAAGCGATTGGAGTATTGGGGCAATGTGGCCCCTAGCCATTGCTTCCTTGCGTTTCATGTCTTCCAATTAACACTGATTAGCCTAAAAGTGATCGCTTGAGAGGATAATGAATCTCTCAGTATTCAGATGTTACAAACACCCCTGTATAGCAAGTGCTCTTAGCAGGCACCTATGAAGGCCGGCACGGTACACGAAGGGATGAGTTGCCAGCGGCGATGTTTTACACACCGCACCAGGTACTCATTTGAGGCTGAGTCGACCTCGGGGAGGAGGCCCAATACCGTTTCAGGTAAATCGTCACCGGCGTGGGCCGTGAGCGGGAAGGGAACTCGCGTCGTCGGGTTCGTAAACGCAGCGCGGCGCTGACCGCAGTGACCACAGCACGCGTTTACGCACGCAGGCACACAGGCACACACGCACACGCGCACGCAGTCACACAGGCACACAAGCACACGCGCACGCAGGCACACACACACGCAGGCACACACACACGTACGCAGGCACACACACACGCACGCAGGCACACACACGCACGCAGGCACACACGCAGGCACACACACGCGCACGCAGGCACACACACACACACGCACGTAGGCACACGCACGCAGGCACACACACGTCAGACGCTGTCGCCAACATTGTGGGGCGGCTTCGTGTCGTGTCTCCTTCCAAGGGAGAGTTTTCTGGACGAGTCTGTGGGATATTTATTTAGGGCCAGTTTATTTCTGCTCCACTGGCTCCCCACGTGCTGCGAATCTAGATTTGGCTTCCCTTTTGTAATCACGATTGGGCCAACACATGCAGACGCATGGCTATCGTGAGCTCACGTGTGCCTTTAAAGGGGCAGTTTCAATGAGTTTTTTTGTGGTTTGATTTTTTTTATCTTTGACATTCACATGGATCTTTTTATTATTATTATTTTTAAAAAAAATCCCTCTCTCCCACCCCAACTGCGGTCAGTTCTGCTATTGATGTTGCCATGATAATGTTTATGCTTTTATGGTAACGATCTGCTTAGCAGCCTTGTATAGCTTCTGATATCTCATGACATTGAGATTTAAGGTGAGTTATATAGATAGAAGTGCTCATAATAATAATAGTCTGATTTCCTACCACATCAAGCCACACATTTGTCAATATATTTTTGGCCAAACCACCCAACACAGGACCCTTACAAAAGGGTCTTGAGACTCAATGGACATCTCTGGGTGAAATTTTGTATTCATGATCCACCTCCCAGCATACCCTATTTTGACTCCCTGTTATTTTAATGTGTTTTTTAACGCGTCTTCTTGGATTACAATATATCTATAGTGTCTTGTTAGTTGGCATTAGTCTGGCTGTCAGAGTGTATCAGCATTATGAAGTTCTTCATTAAAACCCTGCGAATCTGATTGGTCCATTAGCCTGAGACATCACCGCGGTGATCCACATATTCCTATTCGTACAAATTACCATTCGTAATTGGGGCTCTGCTGAACCAAGACCTGCTATGGGGGTATTAAAGAGCACACGTTGTGTATTAACGGTGTAATAAAGTACTTTACTGTGTATAGGGCATCCACCGAGGAGATGGAGTGATGAAATCAGCTCGTTTTCAGGTGCTCGGTGGATTATTACGTCGCAGAATTACCGATGGGGTGACTTGGGGAGGTCTTCATTCAGCAGTGGAATAACCATGGCTGATGATTTTGGCACACTATTATTTTTCCATTTGTCGTTTTGGAACTATACTCATTAATTCCTCCACCCATGTGGAGGGCTTCGTCTACCAGACTGTCGTCTCGTCCGCACTGTGTTCAACCACCACCAACAACACTGCAAGCATAAAGATCTTCCGTATCGCCTTAACAAGCTGTAGGGGAAAGTGCTATTAGCGAGCACCTAAGAAGGCTGGCACGGTACACGAGGGGTGAGTTCCCAGCACTACGCCGGCCCGCCTTTGTCTCCCCAGTGGAGATGTTTTTAAACACCGCACCAGGTACATATTTGAGGCTGAGTAAGGGAGGCCCAGGACCATTTGAGATAATCGTCGCTGGTGTTGGCCGTGAGCGGGGATCCGAACTCGGGTCCCTGGGTTCGTAGCGCGGCGCGCTAACCGCTGCACCACCGCTCCCCATACTTGAGACCACAACTCACTCACACCCAGCCCACCCGTTCATCACACTCCAGGCCACAACACTTTCTCTTTCTGCTGCTCCTTCGTTCGCTCTGCTCAACTTTATAATAGTTTGCCCAAGTTCTTACAGTAACCTTGCTGAATTCAAGAAAGCATTAACGCTTATCGAAAACCGGCCAGGTGGCTCAGTGCTCGATAAAAAAAATCCCACATGTGGAAGGTTTTGAGTTAAATTCCCGGTCGGGGGATTAACTGAGCCAATCATTTCTCCGAGGTCGATAAAACGAACACCACTTTGTGGTGAAGTCAACATTTTAGTTATGAATGTCCTCGTCCCCACCGTAGGAATGAGCAATTTCCACCACTGCCTCGGGTGTGTAAAGAGCAGATGAGCACCACCTCAGTGCTCGAGCGAGCGGGAACAATCTCTTCGGAATTGACGAATAGAACTTTAAAAGTGATAATGTCTGTTGCTGGCGCTTAACGTTTTGGAACCGAGTTCAGCAACCATGGCTTAAAGAAAAGAAAATAAAAACCCCAATAATACTCAATACTGGACGGCCTTTTTATTTTCATGGTCATGTTATGTAATTGTGCAATTGTTACGCTACACGTACGCACGCGTAGTGCGGTGTGGGGACATTGTGCAGTGCCTCTTTAAAAAGAGAGAAAGTAGCTAAATAATTATATAACTGTCACCCGCCTGCACGCGAGGCACCGCACGTTCAGGGCACGTGAGCCGAGGGGCGGGGCTCGCCCACGGTGAGGGGGCGGGGCTAGCTGTGTTGATTGAGGGCAACGGGGGGGTGGGGTGGGGTGTGATGAGGGGGGGGGGCTGCGGTCGTGGGCGGAAAGGGGGGCGAGCCGGGTGGGGGGAGTGCGGGGGGGGTCACGTGTTGCGGGCGTCTCGTCTGGTCGCACACATGGCGCGCGCGGACGGTCACGTGACGGTGTAAAGAGGGGTGGGGGGGGTAAAGAGGGGTGGGGGGGGTAAAGAGGGGTGGGGGGTAAAGACGGGTGGGGGGGGGTAAAGAGGGGTGGGGGGGTAAAAAGAGGGTTGTGGGGGGGGGTAACGACGGGTGGGGGGGACGTCCCCTCCCCCTCTTTACCCCTCCCCCCCTCTACCCCTCCCCCTCTGTACCCCCCCCCCCTCGTGCCCCACCTCCCCGTGTGGCGCGCGAGTCGGACACGGCAGGAGGAGAGCGGCGAGCCGAGGCAGCAGCAGCAGCAGCGTTGGCGCCTCTTCGCTTTCCCGCGCAAAGCAAATAGTGGGGGGGGGGGGGGTTATAAATTGCAATTCATGTACGAAATATATCTAAAATAGAGTATATTAACGGAGAGCCATTCACTTTCCCTCAGAATTCAACTCGCAATTCGATTGCGCGAAAAAAAAATGTTGAACATGGATCACCGCGTCCCGAATTTTAATTCCGTGAAGGGGGACGAGCTGGACCTGCACGACCTGAGGAGGTGGGGGTGCGAGTGTTTGGTGTTGTTTCGTTAATAAGTTAACGACGTTATAGGATTTTAGCTCTGTTGTTGTTGATGGTGTTAAGTTGTTTGTTTGTTTAATGCAGCGTGGAGTTCCCGCCGCTGTTCATCTGCAAAGGCGGCCTCGCGTTTCGGAGAGAAGACAGCAAAGTGAGCCTCTTACGTTACTTATCGTTAAGTTAAATACCTTAAAGTGTGTACTGTGTTAACTATAAATAAGCAAGCAATTTAACCACAAATATGCACTCTTTACTGATGGCAATTGCCAGACTGTACCCTTTCAAACAATAAGCGAATTAAATTGTGTACATGGCTGATGCTTTTTTTCAATAGTGAATTAATATTTCATTTGTAAAATATAAAATATGCTTTCATATGTGTAATGTGTTGTTTTGTATAATATGCATGGCACGTCATCGCTGTAATTTAATGTTTTGAGAAAAAAATTAATTAGACATCTTTACAAAACTTTTGACCTCCCTTATTTACAACATTAACATATTAACGTGTATTTTTTTATTAGTTTGCAACAATTACAATAATACATTTGAACATATCTGAACTTCTATTAAGTTAATGCATTTTTTATTATTAAACATTCGGCAGCGATGCACAATTTCCGTAAACAACTCAACACGAATCTACTGCCCGACGTTTCGGGCTATGGCCTTTCATTATGGAACACCTTTGTTTAAAACAAATACATTTAACTCGGGTGAGAGAACCCACGCGATTGCAAGGGGAGCCTTGGGTGGCAGGCGATTACATAAATCTCATTGAATGAATAGCAAATTGTTAAACGCAATGCTCCTTTACATTGGAGCATGTTTGTGCTGTTGTAATGCCCCACGTAAGCATGGCAGTAAGCTTTAAATCAAAATCGCAGTAAGTGTTCGTAAGTCTAAGATAGGGGCTCAGCTGTCACGCTTTGGTGCCCAATATGAAGAGATATGCACTATGAGACCTCCTTTACCAGTGGCAAAATATAGCAATAGGTTTTTACCCTTTTAACTGGTACAAAAACTGACACCTTTATTAAAAAAAAAACCTATTGCTATATGAAGAGATATGCTTTGGGGATTGTTGGTAGCATTGTAGAGAGATTGATACAAACAGGAAGGGAATTAATTGTATTCATACTCTTAGGTTTTTTCGGTAAAGGCACGTAGGTAAAAGTAAGTAAATAATATAAATAATAATGATGATGTTTTGTATAATATACATGGCACGTCATCGCTGTAATTTAATGTTTTGAAAAAAATACTTAATTAGACATCTTTACAAAACTTATTTCTGTTATTATTTCTATTATTTTATTATTTACTTATTTTTTACCTACGTGACTTTACCCGAAAAAACCTAAGAGTATGAATCCTTGCAGTCACGAAAGCTTCAAATCTAGAATTAATTGTATTGTTTGTTGGAACGTTCTTACCCGCCCCGACTGGACCACCGCTTTACAGCTCATCGGATTCCTCAAGTTTAAATAAACATTCTAAATTCTGAATTTGCTTAAAGCTGTGCATGAACATATCCCGCAATTCGCCCGGTCTCAGATATCTGGGAAGCTAAGCAGATTTTGAGCCTGGATAATGCTTGGATTGAGCCTGGATAATGCTTGGGCATAATTTTGCGGGTCTCCTATCTGCGTTGTTAACGGTGAGAAGTCTTGAGCCGATATTCGTGGTGGTTCCCAATGGTGTAAGCCAAATCTCGTGATTAAACAATCACATTAAGCCTCAGAGGGATATGATATACTATGACCTGAGTCGACCCTGGCAAAGATTTAAACTCTTCCCCATTAGCTGTGCAGCTTCATGTTTTAGCAACTGATCTATTATATCCTGCAGACATAAAGGTCGTAATTAACCTTGTGTGGCATTTAAAAAAAAGTGGTGACCTTGACTGTGGCTCAAACCCAATACCCTGAAATTAAATAACCAACCCCTAACCAGAACTAATTTTTCATATTATAGAATTATGAATCACTACCAATTTGAAAACAAGACTATATAGACATGAATCTACCCTGCTTGTAAATCCTCCCCACATTGGACGAGTCGTGGGGGTTATTTGACGATATTTCACGACACTGGTCTATGCGGGTTTATGATGATGTGGAACATAGACATGGGGATACAATACAGTACAACAATTTATATCTCTGCACTGCTCTCTGCTGCCCACAAAGTGTCCCCCCCTCAGTCTATAACTACCGGTTTTATGCATGGTCGTTGCCCATCAAAAACAGTGTAATAATATCTGCTTAGCTTTCAAGATCTGATGAGATCAGTTCACATTATGGGTGCTTTGGTCAGAGGCAAAAGCAGAAGTAGTACTGTGGAATTTGACATTGCAGAAGAGGAGATTATTTGCAAAGAACTGAAGTGATGCACAATAACAGGCTAATTTATGGTCGCCGGAGTTTTACGTCCCACCATAGTTAGGAAAGCACATTTATAATGTAAGAGCAACGATGCAGGTGAGAAAGATGTTTCTCATTTAAAACAGCAGGTGTGTGGCCATTGAAAAATTGGCACACAATCATGAGGCTCATCCAGACCACTTGTGTTGTTGAAAGACATTCTTGAAAAAACAAATAGCTGCAAGTTTATTACAAACGTGCACATATATGAGATTAGCTTTTTCCTAATATTCTTCAAAACGCATTTGACACAGCAGTAATCTTTTTACATTTACTGAAAATAATTTTCAGATAGACCGTTGGGAATTACTTTTATATTCAAATACTTGAACTGACTAGAATGAAATTTTGATGAAAATATAATTTCACCCATCCCCTAAGTTCTAATAGTATCTTAGTAAATATTGGACAAGAGTTTTTATGATGTATTGGTGAATAATGAAATCTACATTTTGTGAATTAATGCAAAGGTATGCTAGAGAAAAAGTTAATGATTTGAGAATAAATTAATTGCTTGAACAATTTCTGCTTGAAACATACATTTCAGTCGTCTTGGGATTGTTTTTTTTTTACCAAAAGTGCCTGTGAAACAAGTGGCCCAGAAACTATTTATTTGTACACAAACAACAACTCGGTAAACGATAACTTAACGGCTCGGAATAACGACATTATCCTCTTCAATTAAATGTCGAATTATAAAATGACTTGCTTACATTACATTATTTTACAAAGCTTAAACCGGTTGTGTATACCGGTGGACATGTGTCGACTGCAAGCAAACCACTTGCGTACACTGAGAGCATTGATCCATTGCAGCAACGAGTGTGACGTGTGCTCGTTTAGCGCTTTATTCCATTTCACTCATGTACGGGGGACAGTGCTGGGTAATCCTTTGGTTTTCCTTTGACACAAACACCCATGGATTATCGAGGGTGCCATTAGCAAAAAACTAAATAAATGTGCCCTTGCCTCGGGGGTCAGATGCCCGTCAATTTAAAGCCCTGTAAGCTCTCCACTAAATCTGGGGGGAGTTGGCAAGCACGAGGGGCTATTAGGCTACTGTCATTTACAAAGTGAGACACATACTTTTACAGTCATCGTGGCACTTCATTATTACATATTTCATTGAGACGTCCAGGGTGATGACTATGTACTTTCATTGGGTTACATTTTTAAAGTAGTTACATTGAGCAATTTTCACAATGGTTACTGCTACACCCTGGACATATTTTACTGTCGATGTAGGATGAATGTGGATGGTCAGAATAAACACCTCAGTTGAGACTCATACATTGCTTATCCTGGCTTGGACAACCACATCAGAACATCAACAGGCCAATGTGCAAATTTTCATAAATGGAAATCAGAGACAAAGCACAGTGCGATTGTGGCCAATGCAACCCAAATTATAGACCTTTTAGTATACCACTGTTATCCTGCGCTCCTTCAACGGAGGAATAACAAAACTACACGCACTGTCTCCAAAAGCCCTCATGGCTAAAATAAAACATGCATATTCTTGGTTCTTTCGGTAAAGTCACGTAGAAGGGAAATAATAAAATAATAATAAAACGCCACTTTTTTTCAAATTTTCTTGCTGTGGTTTTCACACCTGATGATGATTGCTTGTGTTGCAATCGAAACGTCGTGAAAATGTTATTTTTTATTTTCATTATTTTATTATTTCCCTTCTACATGACTTTACCGAAAGAACCAAGAATATGAATCCTTGCAGTCACGAAAGCTTTAAATCGAAATAAAACATGCAGTTAAATTTAAAAAATTACGTACGTCAACCAAATATATCCAAGCATAAATTTCCAGACAAGTTTTAACACGTTCTATTCAAACAGCTTAATAACTGTGCTTGTGGAATGTATAGCACCATTTTGATAACTGAGTAGAGAATACTACTTTGTACAATATTAGTGGTGGCCAAATTATGGCTCATGAGCCGCATTCAATTTCCGGGCAATTCAATTGTGGCTTGGTAGATACCACAGCTTATTTTAAACTTCTTAATGTACCTTTATTTCTGTAGAAACAGGAACAACCTATGGAATTAGGAGTTGCCCAGGGGCAGTGCCCCTGGCAGCAGAGCCAAACACGAGTACACTGCTCCCATATGTATTCAGAAATTCAAAACCATGAGAAAGTCGGCCGCATGACCACCCCGCATGACCTGCTCAGAAAACGTGCCCTTAATTGTATCTCCTGTATGTTGAACTTCTTTCGCGCCATACGTAGCCAACCGTGTTATTTAAACACGCTCTGCTAGAGCACTTCATTTTTCATATTTTTTTATCATTTTAACAGCTTTTTAGTGGATGGCGTCCATGGCTCTTAGCTATATGACGTTGTTGATATGTGGCGTGTATTGTCAATAAATTTGGCCACCCCTTGTACTGTGATTAGACAGTCTATGGCCTATTCCTGCAACCCAAAAAGATAGAAATAACCTTGAAAGATAGAAATCAGTAAGAAAACATTCTAAGCTGTTTTCAATATAAAAGGAAGTTTCGAACTCTCCCTCGTCTTTAAAGATTTCTTTGAGTATTTTTAACTAAACCCAATAGCAGCATTTATTTTCTTCAAAGTTACATCTGAAGTATCTACAAAAGTTAACTGTTATTGTTATACATGTCAAATTAATGTTTTGTGATTTGCTTGTTTTCAGGAGGCATACAAGCTACCACATCGACTCATAGAGAAGAAAAGGAGGGATCGCATTAATGAGTGCATCGCACAGCTTAAAGATTTGCTCCCTGAACATCTCAAACTATCAGTAGGTCCTGCACAAATTCTGTGTTTAATATTACTTCAACCTGTGTCTGTTTATATGTCGGAGTATAATATGAGCTTGTATTGATTGGATTTTGCTGAGGTTTGTATGTTCATTTTCCACTGCTTAAAATACTTGTTCATTACAATTATGGTTTTGTAAACTTGTATGCGATTATTTTTGTTCAATCAAACATGACACTTACTTTTGGATTTGCAGTTCATGCAAGGAGAAGGAAATTGTATGATGTTTGTTTTATATAGTATATAATATATTTTTTATCAGTAAAACTGTTGAAACATGATTGGAAATTTTAAGTAAAAGAACAGTCTTATTAAAATGTTGTAATTGTATATAGGCAGCAGTATATACATATAGCAAAAACACAAATGCAGAACAGAAGTCAATACGAATTCAACTCAGACACTTATATAATAATGTTTGTAATCAGAAGCATTATTTCAGATATAAATGTAGTATTTTGACTGCACGTGAGTTCATGATGCATTGAAATGAACCATAGAATTCACCTTAGATGGATTTTCTCGCACAAAAAGGACATCTCAATAATGGACATCAATTTCAGATAATTATTGTAAATGCCAGCCACCTGCATGAAAGCACATCTATTATAAAGCAGGCGAGAAGTGGCTGTCGCATAATGAAAAATTGTCTTGAGTGCGTAGTGGCTCCCTGATATCCCTTGTCCTCCACTCAGCAGGCGACTCAAAATCCCACCGTTGCCACCGTTTCCTAGCAATGGACACGTTTCCCAACAACCACTGTGCCACACTACCTCCCTCCCTCACTCTACTTTCTCTCCCTCCAATCCCTCCCTCCCACTCTACCTCATTGGGAAAGCACAGCTGGCGCAGAGTTTTTGCACCTCATGTGGAGGAGGAGGAGAAGGAGAACAAATTAATACTTATTTTAAAAGCATGCACATTTTTTTCTCTCTCAAAATATGGAAAGTGTTCTTTTTTTTTCCCTCTGAATTTTTTTTATTTGCTTGCGTTACAGTTTTGAAAGTAATTATGCTGTCTTGAAATATTAGCTTTTTTTTCTTGGCATTGCTGTAGATTGTAGAATATTTGTATCAGCGAGGCATAAAACACACAGTAGACGACTTAGTTATGCATGAGGCATTTTACACAAGACAGCTAATTTTATAATTGCCTAAAGGGCAGGTCACGGTCTTATTAAAAGTTGGCAATTATGCACGAAGTGTCTTAAGGTCTTTAAAAAATGTCTAGGTATACTGGAAAAAATAATGAACATGTTATTAATGGATTAATTTAAGTTTCAACTTTTTCTCTTGTATTACATGTAATGTATGTGTTATGGTGTAGTTCTTTGTCTTTTTAACCTCTGCTATGAGATTACACCATCAAACACTTCAACTAGGAGCGCTGAAACTATTTCCAGCGTGCTGCAATGCAAACCTGTAATGGGTTGCAATGCTACGTTGATAGGCAGACATAGTGGACAAGGACAACATGTTTTAAAGATGTTTTCTTCATAAGCACGTGTGGTATAAGCCAAGACAGATTACATTTAAAAGTGATTAATTTTCCTGACGTTTAATTATCCAGAAACCCAAGTACGTGTTTATAAACGTGTCATCCGAGTCAAATCCGGAAGCGCACAAGTAAAGACATTAAATATTTCTGCCTCGAATGTATCCTAGTTTTTAGCCAGTGATTAATGTTTGAGGTTAACGTGATGCATTGACTGCTTTGTCATAACAAAGCGGCAATAATTTATCATGCACAACACAATACAAAAGTAACCATGCACTCAAACTTGTTTACATAAGATTTGTAGTTCACGGTGGAATATGCTTATTGTACTGTAAGCCAGGGCTGAAGTTATTACTCTGCACTAAAATCTAACTTATTTGACAGTTTTGTAATGGTTGGAGTACTTTATCGAAGTAAAACGTTGATTCATTCCAGTCATACATCTAAGCCCTACACTGGTCTGTTGGCCACGTAAACAACTCACTGGTCAAAAGAGACTGGTACTTCCACAAATTTCTATATGGCACTTACCATTACCTCATTGCTCAATGTGGTTCTGTATAGTGAGGTCTGATGTGACTTGCATGGAATTTAAATGCATTTCTATTAAACATTAGACCCCTTGTTCCAGTCAGGTGTGTCAACTCATTAATGCAAGCGTTTGGAACCAAATTTGCAAACTTGCAAAAGGTTAACCGTGCGTCACTACATGGTACACAATGCAAAACGGTCTTAGAAGACTGGGCATTTAGTACTGCACTTAAGGATATTTGTGCTCACAGGCAAAATATATAATTCGTCTTTCAAACCCTACACGTCATATAAAAATACAGTAAAACCTTGGATTGCGAGTAACTTGGTCTGCGAGTGTTTTGCAAGACGAGCAAATTTTTTAAATACATATTTATTTGATAAACGAGCGAGGTCTTGCAATATCAGTAGTACGTGTATACGCTTTGTCTGCCGAGCGTCACGTGACCACAACTGATATACGAGTGCTTTGGATTACAAACACGTTTCCGGAACGAATTATGCTCGCAATCCAAGGGTTTACCGTATATGAGAATAAAAGTTTTCTCTCTGGATTCCTGTCTGGCTGTCTGGCAATACCCGAGATTAAATATACAGTACACAGCGCAGTAGATAAGATGCAACAGTCAGCTGTAGGAAAAGCATTTTAAAAGTGGGAGAACTAATTCTGAATTATGGAAGACACTAGATGGTACATATTAAAAAGCATTTTTTTATAGATACTCAAATTGTGTTGGGCTTTCTTCATTAGATACATTTTTTCCAGATCATATTGTGCAAACAGTTGCATAGATTGATCTTCACTATTATTATTCAACAACCAACACAGCCTCTGCACCTTGCCATCAGGTCTAGAAAACACAATCTAAATTAAAGCAACATTTAATCAACCAATCAGTGCAACCATTAACCCATGTCAAGATATTATTTCCTGAATAAAATAAAAAAAACCTAAATTTTAAAGTCATTGTCACGCTCATTCACATGTCTGCTTGCACTCGTTTAGCATTCTGCACATGTGCACATGTAATAATGCGTGTGAATACATGTTTACTGTGTGAGTGTAGACCCTGGGTCATCTGGAGAAGGCTGTGGTGCTGGAACTGACATTGAAACACGTGAAAACACTGACTTCCCTGACCCAGCAACAGCAAGAGCGGCTTAATGTACTGCAGAAAGGTGCGTGGCAGAACAGAATTGCACCACCACAGTTGTAGACTATAGAAAGGAAAAAAAAACGAGAGCATTTTTTTCACAGCCAATTCTATGGCAATCAAATTGCATTCCTTAAAACCAGAATGCGTAAACTTGACTTTACAACTTAAGCGAGTAATGCCATGTTCATTTATTGACACTGTACAACGTAACTTTAGTTAAATTTTTTTACTAATAAATCAGCACATATAGAGGTAGAATAAAATCCCTGTTGAGAGACTTAACATGCATTAAATATCAATAAACCCTATTCATAATTGGTTTTTTACCCTTCTATCTGGCAACAAAACTGACACCTTTTTACAAGGAGTCATGTTTGCATAGACCACAATACCTGCAGTCATAATACAAACAACAGAACATAACTCTGATAATGTGCACTGTCCTTGAAGTTGATTGGTCCACACCCGAGACAGCTTTCCTTAGAGCCTAGTGTCACATGGGTTGGACCAGATGACGCCAAAAGGCGCACAACTCAAAGACAATGCACCATCAGAGTATGAGAGCTCGGGGCAAGCATCTACACTATGGGAACCTCATTTGCCTGTAAAAATATGATAATTGGTTTTTCACCCTTCTATCTGGCAACAAAACTGACACCTTTTTACAAGGAGTCATGTTTGCATAGACCGCAATACCTGCAGTCATAATACAAACAACAGAACATAACTCTGATAATGTGCACTGTCCTGAAGTTGATTGGTCCACACCCGAGACAGCTTTCCTTAGAGCCTAGTCTCACATGGGTTGGACCAGATGACGCCAAAAGGCGCACAACTCAAAGACAATGCACCATCAGAGTATGAGAGCTTGGAGCAAACATCTAATCTATTTTGTATTCTTACAAATTCCTGGAATCTTAACATACATTTTTGGTTATGTTGGTACATGTAAGTGATCTGCAATTCCATGTACTCTGTTGTCATCTTATTTTTTAATTGTGATGTGGAATTGAAATTGGTTAGGGTGCACTTCCTAAATTTTTAGTTTCAGAGTAAACGTCTCCGTTTTATTATTGATTCCTATCAGATAAGGAAATATAGTTTTGAAACTGATACAAAAGGATCCGTTTCTGGTTAAAAATGTGGAACAATTTTTTTTCTTCATATTTCTTCTTAGAATTGAGTTAATTTGGGAGAAAGGAATGAAGCAACATGGATTTAGACTATGCGCACAGCTACACATGTGAATGTGGGTGGGAAATAAATAAAGGAATAATAATGTAGATTATTTCGGCACCCTTAACAATGGATCTCATGGAACAAAATATACCACTGTAATCTGTTTGTCTAAGGCAGCCTCACTGGGTCTCAATATTCTTATTAATGAGGATGCTGCATTGGGGATATTTAGCCAAATTACATGAAGGAGTAGCATGAGGGAGAAAACCAGAGTGCCTTCATATGAGGGGCTACTATTAAGGGTATATGCACAATAAAATTAACATCATGTCTGCTGTACTGCTTGGTTCAGGAGAGCAGCCAGAACTCGACGACCAAACTGGGCTGCAGGCTTTCCGGCTGGGCTACCACGCGTGCGCACGTGAGGTCCTCACGTACCTGGCGCGCCAGGAGAGGTGGGGGGCGTGTGAAGCCAGCAGCCCCGGCCTGCTCAGCCACCTGCAGAGGGCTGTCACCCTGGGCCTTCCTGACGGCGTCGCGTCTTCTCTCTCCGTCGACCCTCGCTCCTGTACCGCCGCCGAAGAAGAAGAAGACGGCAGCAGAAGGGGAGCTGGAGGGCCGCACTGCGTTCCCGTCATCCGAAGGGGTGCCCTCGGAGGCGGCGCCGCCTCTGGCGGCACGGAGGCGGCGGGATCCCCCCACCCCGCGGCGGCGGATGGGGCTGGCGACGCGACGCGGGCGTCCTCGAACAGCGACACGGACAGCGACAGCGGCTACGGCGGGGACGGTGGCGCCCGGTGCGCCGGCGGGGGCGGCTGCCGGGAGGGGGCGCGGGTGAAGCGTGAACGGGTGGCGGGGCACGCGCCCGACCGCCGATCCAAGAAGCGGCGCTTCAAGGTGGAGCCCGAGTGTCGGGCGGACGCGACGGCGGCGCGGGCGGCACCGCTGGGCGGCGAACGGGGAGCAGGTTGCGCGTCGGAACTGGCTACGAACGGGCCGAACCAGCCCTTTATCGTGCCCTTCTACCTGGTGCACCCGGCGGCGGCCGCGGCGGCCGCTGCTGCAGCCGCGTACGGGCCCATGGTGGAAGGAAAGGCCGCGCACATGGCTTTGCGCCACTCCTGGACAAGATGCCGTTCCCGCTGCTCTACTCAGGGTCTGCCACCTGCGCTCGCCGCTGCAGCTCTGCACAACATGCAGCAGCAGCAGCAGCAAAGCCTATCCAGCATCGGCACTCCGAGCAGCCCGGCCTCCGAGGACGATATTGAGTGAGGCTCGGAGATGAGCAACCTCTTTCCCAGTGCGAGTCTCCGCAGTTTGTGTTTTCCATGGATTTTTTATTTTTAAGTTCCCCACTGTCTTCATAGCTGCTATGAACTTTCTTACCCACCCCTACTGGACATCTTCATAGCTCATCAGATTCCTCCAGTATAAACAAATATTCTGATTCTGTCTGATGAAGGTAAACTTGACTTTCTGGAGGCTCAATGAACAATTTTGTTTACAAAGTCCATTGTTTTCTACCCAAATCTAAAAGGCCACTTGTGTTTGTGAGACAATTATAAAAATGCCTGCAAAGCTGCATCGACCTGCATTACCATGGTTATGTTTTTTAAATCACGTTTTGGAAAGAATGCTCATATGGGCATTACTTAAAGTGAGTGTTGTGAAATGAGGGTGGTTACAGTGAGTGTTAGCAAGTTTTAAATAAACTGGAAGAAAGCAAAACACACCTGGTGTTGAAAGTTTTATGTTTATTGTAAGAGAAATGAAATGTGGATGCAGCAGACCTACAATGTGCCTAAAATGTGGACTCTGAAGGTGAATTAAAATGAAAAAAATGTGTAGCACACAAACGAAAAATGTACATGACTAAACACATTTATGAACATCTATTTAATACTGAAGTACATTTTAATGATGGAAGATCACACACACACTTTGAACTAAGTTGTGTGTCACCAAGTATTGCGTTCCAGAATGTGGTAGAGTGAGAGTTGCTGAACACTGGTTAACAAAATCAACAATGTACAAAGTTGTTTCTGCATATGGACCTTAATGCTTACAAAACTTCATGGGCAGTGTTGACGTGAATAGTACAGTTTGCTATATTTTTATGTCACGGTGGTGCAAATATAGACATTTTCAGACCAGGACAAATTGTCAAGTTGCATATGTAAAGAAAGAGTAATTACAAATTAAAGTTGTTTGAATCGCTTGGATTAAAACAAGAGGTTGTGGTATATAATTTGTTTCTGTTCAAGTTGAAAGCACATCTGAAATCAATTCATGGAGCTTTGTAATATTGACTGTGTCGGTTTACGGTCTGTGGATGCTACGGGGTCCAGCATTGTGACTTTGAGTCACAAACATCCATGTAGCTTCAACTGTGTGGTCTAAACGTTATAAAAGCAATGTTATTGTTAAACTATTTAAGTCTATAATAAAGGTACATTATAACATAGGATCTGTACTCGGCTTTAATGATAATCACGAGAGTGTTTTGCGTGGTGTTCCGTGCTTTATAACTTGCACTACCTTAGACGCTTTGATTGTTGCTTTCTGTACAGGGCCTTGCCACATTAGGTTTCAATGTTTGGATAATATTATCCACTCTTGATCATGTTTAACAGAATTAGGTTTTGTGCGCAGGTCTGAGCTTTAACAAGTTATGTTTTTCTGTCACAATTTACGTTAAAAATATAATCATAACGGTGTTAAATATTGTCCATTTCTAAACAATCACATAAGTTTTTATTAATCCTCATGAATAAAAATTAGGATACCTGTTAATATAACTTTATATAAACAATACATTCACAGTATAGTAATGGTATGAATAGAGAGCAATCATAACATTGTTAATATGACTAAAATAAGTATATAGCCTGTACTGTGTTAAAAAAAAGATAAAATTCACACATTGTTTGCACGTTACTAACATAACGACTTTGATACAGGATTTATTTGGCAATGCATTCACATATACAAAACACTCAAAATATGTATAATTGGCCAATATACGCCGTGATGAATGATGATAGTGACTTAGCTAGCGATATGTTGGCCAACATAGGCCTGTGATGAATCGTAAAAGTTATTTGGCTGTCAGTAGCTATTGTACTGTTGTAAGGCTCTTACAACAGCAATGCACAACAATTCAATTACATGATTACAAGCAATTTGCTTTTGCCTCGTGTATAATTCTGCAAACGATTTACAATTTGTTTCGTGTAATTTTCACGTGCAAAAAAACCCCATTACAACAGATGCAAACTTAATCAAACGGCATAACATTTCCAGACAGGGTCTGGCACTCCAACAAACGGAACGGTAATTTGGCTTGGCCCGAGAAACGTGAGAGCTCCGTGTATATATTTTGTTTTAAAATTTGCCATTTTTTTGCCTACATTTAGGCGAGGCTGTTTTGTCTTAAAATGTTTTTTTGGAGAAAAGAAATATTTTTGTAATGGTGTTCGAGCAACAGAATGTACACGAAAATGTTGGCGGATGACTGAAGTTTGTATTCCTCGACGCTATCATTGTGTTAGTCTGCCACTAGTATTGCTGTACATTATGTATGTACATGTAGTAGTGTCACTTGTTGCTGCTTCTAATACGATAAATTAAATTATTTTAAACCAAGTTATTTTTACATTTGTTGTTTTTTTTTCGACGAGGAAAGTGAATGGAGGTTCACCAAAGAAGCAGGAAAGATGACAATGTTCCAGACTTCACTGTAGCGAGACAAATGCACTAAGATTATAAACACATAGTGGATAATTTTAAATCTATATTCTGTTCGTGAATAAAATGTCATCTTTAGCCTAACGAGAGTGTGCTTACGTTTCTTTTGTTTAAATAATGCGACACGTGTGTGACTCGGTTTGCTCTGTATAAGATTGCATTGGCCTACGCTAAATTATTCGTGTCTTCATCTTATTTTAACTTATATAGCGCCTTGACCGAGGGGCTATATAAACCAGTGATCACACAACTTAGAAACAAATGTTTTGTTGAGCATTAACTGTAGCTCACTCATTTTTTGTAAGTTTAGTTTGTTAAGTGGAAATAAAAATAGGAGACAAACCTTTCGCGTTTCAGGAAGCACCGTGTGTTTTGTTCCTTATGCAGCACATGGAATAGCACGCGTACATTTTACATGATATCACTGTGAAGGTGCACTTAAATGCATTTCCAAACACTTTCTTTGATGTAATGGAACGATTGTATGTATGCATGTTGAACTTCTTTGGCACCGTACTCATCGGAGGTGCAGGGGAAGGACAAACTAAACAGAATGTAGTACTAAAGAAATGTATTTTTAATTTATAACGATAAGATATCACCACTCCTGAATGGAGCATGTGTGATGTTCAACAGATTTCATGTGCATTAAGTTTAGAATATCTGCTTGAAACCTGTTTGGATAATGCAACTACAGTATAAATACACCTCAAAACACATTTCATGAGGATGTATATTAAATGCCAACATTATTGCGTAAAAAATACCATCATTAATTCATAGCACTGAAAAGCGTGACCGACATTTTAAGATAAAAAATGACCAGCAAGAAATTGTAGTACATTCACTGTTTATTTATCGGCAGCTCTTCGAGCACAACATTCGATTTTTTAGACACTTGAGTATTTGTTTTAGAGTAGTGGAAGGAACTGGAGTATAAATGACAGAAGGGAGTTAAGAAAGTGTTGCTGATGAGTTGTTTGAGGATGACGGTAGGAGTTTGTGGACTTCATTGCGGGAGGCAAAGGAGAATGTGTTAACAGGGGTGTGGATATGTATGCCGATGTTTGTGTAGTGACATCGGGACTCACTACATATGTATGTTGAACTTATTTCGCATCGTACAAAGTCAACCGTGCTTATTGGGAGGTGCGGGGTAGATGTACTCGCGTGTTTTAACCAAGGCCGTAATTATAATGCAGCACATGCTCAAAATGTCCCCCCCAATATATTGCTATAAAATGGATTTCTGTTTATATGATTGTGAGTATGGTTGTAGTTTATTCATCCCTAATCTCTGCTATTACATACAATGAAACAAGAAAAGGTAAAAAAGAAAAAAAAAGCAATGTAATACAATACACTATTAGACATTATTGTAAAAAATAAATAAAATAAGTCCATCCTATGTGTTAGTGAATCAAAAAAATATTTTTTTGGCAGGAAAAGAGTTTTCAAATTTAGATTTTATTTTTCTGAGGGGGGGGGGGGGAACCCCAGACCCCCTGGAAGATTTGATCCCCCCCCCCCCCCCAATGTTGACTCCATGGCTACGGCCTTGGTTTTAAACATCGAACAAAGACGGGCCACTGCTGCTGCTTCTGCGGCCGTCTGGAACGCTCTTCCGATATTAGGAAGTCACTGGAGCTATGCACTTTTAAATCTAGATTTAAAAAACAAATTTCTTCAGAACTGCTTTTTGTGTTTAAATTGCTGTCCTTTCCCCGCACATCCGATTAGCACGGTTCAACATCGTACATACATGGACGAAGCATGAGTGTTACAGGGAGGATGCTTTCCCTCCACACGCTCCATCTCTTCGAGACGCGTGCTGTCACGAGTTCGCCTGCACTTGTCCACACGAGTGAACGGGAGCCGGGCAAGCTTATTCTTTAACAGCTTCGAAAACCTCACTGTACAGCAACCGTAGCAGAAAGTGATTTAAGGCTACTCAACTGCTCATTACAGCACACAATGAGATTCAGCATTGCATTGTAGGTTCAGTGTAATTCTAAATAATTGATTCAACTGAAACATGACCCCCAGATAATGAAAAACAATCGTTAAATTTCGATTTAAAGCTTTCGTGACTGCAGGGATTCATCTTCTTGGTTCTTTCGGTAAAGTCACGTAGAAGGGAAATAATAAAATAATAAAAATAAAACATAATAAAATAATTCTCACGACGTTTCGGCCACAACGCAAGCAGCCGTCCTCAGGTGAAAACCTGAGGACGGCTGCTTCGACGGACCTGGTTTTCAACTGAGGACGGCTGCTTGCGTTGTGGCCGAAACGTCGTGAGAATTGTTTTATTATGTTTTATTTTTATTATTTTATTACTTCCCTTCTACGTGACTTTACCGAAAGAACCAAGAAGATGAATCGTTAAATTACACAGCAGCGTTTGACTAGTTGCATGCATACTGCACACGACCACGTAATGATGATCTGAGACTGATGAAAACATCTTCCAGCATCTTGCACTTGTTCTAAGCCAATGGTCGGCACCCCTTAACGAGAAGGGCAATATTTTTTTCGAATTTGGTACAATATTCATATTCTCATTTACTTGATACAGCTGTCGTGGCTGTGACGGTTCCACCTGAAGACGGAAGCTTGTGTTGCCTCCGAAACGTCGTGATTTTTATTTTATTTTACTTTAATTAATTTTAATGTTTTACCTACGTGACTTTACCGAAAAAACCTAAGAATATGATTCCTTGCAGTCACGAAAGCTTCAAATCTAGAATTTGGTACAAACTCAATATTTTTAAGCGCCGCGGTGCATGTGTATATACATACATTACGACACGAATCAGTCAGTAAAGAGACGCGCATGTGCGTCTTAGGAGCAGCAGGTTTCCAACTCACTCGTCTAAACACAAACAAAAACAATACATGTAGTGTGGCGCGTTGACTTGATGAAAACGTTTTGTTTGCACACTTTAGAGGCAGCCGCAAAAAGGAGGTTGTGAACGCAGTCGTTTTCACCCGCTAGCCACCACGACCACATCGTAACCTGGGCACGGGGAACTAACTAACTTAGGGATCATCCATTGAGTACGTACGCATGGAGGGGTAACCCAAATGCATAGCTTGCGTATGGGGGGGTCTACTGACATTGTACGCATAGGAAACGGAGGAGGGGGGTGAAGCCTCGATAATAATTAGTCTACTTTGGCCTTCAAATGTGTTATATAGTCCGGCGCTGGACTATCTGTTTACTTAAACACGTTCATATTATTAATCCTCGATCGTTTCTGCGTGGATTAAATATCGGCCGTTCTATAGGATTCGGCGGGGGTGGGGTGCGTCAGGTGTACGTACGCAGGTGGGTGGGGGGGGTAAAAAGTACGCGTGCATACAGGGAGGGGGGGAGGGGTCAAGTTTTGACAGATTTTTACGCACGCACTAAACGGATGGCCCCTTGCTACTTTGCGTGCGCACTAAACGGATGGCCCCTGACTGGTGACCCTTGAGCCTCGCGGGCCAGAGCACAGTGACGTCTGGTGCGACGGACTGGCCAAGAGGAACAACAACGGCCGTGGCAGTGACGAGGAGGGCCGTCACAACTCACTGCGCATCGTGCGAAGTCAACCGTGCTCATTGGAGGTGCGGGGGGCATGGGTGACTGCGGCACTCGCGGGCAGCTGCACTCACGTGTCTTAACAGTCCAACAAAGACGGGTCACTACATCGCGCGCGCACTTTCAGATGCGTTTCTCCCACGTGCCGTCTGGAACGCTCTTCCGTCCCGACAAAAGGACACCGTTGGAACTGTGCACTTTTAAATTGTCCAGATTGAAAACGAATTTCTTTAGAATGTGCTTTTTGTGTGGGTTGTTGTCCATACTACCGCACCGAGCACGGATGGAAACATACGCTGCGAAAGAAGTTCAACATCCTGTAAATACATACTTTGGTGCTGTGTTATCGGGCCGGCTAGTGTGGCGATAGCTTGGGCCAGTCAGCGCTTGCACAAACCATCTCACTCACACAACAAGCTAAACACAACACGCAGTTCTAAATACATTCATTTTTAATGTAGATAATTTAAAAGTTCATAGTTCCAGCGGATCAGCAGCAAGAGCTGACCGTAGTTTGCGTGATGGATTATGCTCGTTGACGAGATCAGCAAGGTACTGTGGGTCATGTGTGTATGTTGAACTTCTTTCGCACCGTACGTAACCAACCGTGCTAATTGGAGGTGTGGGGAATCTGAGGTACAAACTATTTACTTATTATTTTAATTTCACCAGGTGAGGCCCACTTAGCTGCATATGTCTTTTTCAGAAGCGACGTCACACGACCCACAACGCGAGACTCGACCAGACGCACTGGCGGGGTGGCACGTGCCCCCCCCCCACCCCCAATGATCCGATCGAAATCCCTAATTTCGATCGGATCATTAGGGTTTATTTGTAATAAATCGGCATTTTGCGACCCCCACTGCCACTGTGTAGCATAGTATTACGTGCCAGGGACTCTATGAGATGATAGGACAATAGTCTGAGTCCATAATTGGCAATAAGTAACGGCAAAGCAGTTGTAAGTGACTCAGAATTATGCGCAGTTGCGTATACAGTCCACACGACTTCCCTGAAGGCATTCACCTTCAGCGAGCGCGATGCCGATCACACAACGCGGTTCGAATTCGACCCTCGATCGATGGCTGCGCCATCGCCGCACACGCGTCGAATAAAAATCAAGGGACAAGTGCTTACTTACTAACAACTCCTCTATCATTTTTCATTGCTGGAGGGGTTGCCCCCCCTACCTGAGAATCCTGGCTCCTCGTTTTCTTCTTGTCAAGTCAGATGTGGGGCAAAGTGGCGAGTGGGGAAAGCAGAGTCGTCGACTCCGTTGCAAACGGGACAAGGCGAACAATAATTTAACAAGAACGATGAAGCAATTTGGGGTAAACACTGTCAAGAATTCGTACATGAGTTAATATGACGAGACGCTTACAAAAGCTACTGCATACCAACTTAACTGAATGTAGTTTATAATCCACGCTCAAATATTGAACATTTCGACTTGAAAGCCATTTTTTGTCTCATCTCCTTATCCTGTTATATTGTTTGTTCCATAAGCCTGAAAGTTACATTTACATTCTAGATTGTAAGCTTTCGTGACTGCAAGGATTCATACTCTTAGTTCTTTCGGTAAAGTTCCGTAGGTAAAAAAAAATGAAATTAAAATTAATAAAAATAAAATAATAAAATCACGACGTTTCAGAGGCAACACAAGTCTCCGTCATCAGGTGGGACCGTCACAGCCAGATTCACTTGATGCAGCAAATCTGGCTGTGACGGTCCCACCTGATGACGGAGACTTGTGTTGCCTCC